TATGTGGGGGTCTATACAAATGCGCTTGCTCCAGCTGGTGGTACAATATTCGGAGGCGGTATCGCCTCTCTGATCCTCTAGTTTTACTTAATTTTTTCAGACGACAATAATATGGGATGCTAGTTCAGGTCATTGTACACAACAATTTGCTTTTCATTCTGGTAAGTGGAGGGCATTGCTCAAAATGTCAACCTTAGTTTGATATCTGTTCTCCTCTGAAGATTCACTGTAATAGTTTTAAAATAACATTATTATTATTATTATTATTATTATTATTATAAATGTGTAACACATTCCTAGAACTGTTCTTTCAGTGTTGTCTGATGCACACTGAGCTCAACACAATGAACTGTCACAACTAACACAATGACTTGTCACAACTAACACAATGAACTGTCACAACTAACACATTTCAAACAACCTCATTGTCACAAGAGCTCTCAATCTTTGTGCCACATTGGCCAAATAAGGGTCTTGTTTCACAAGAAAAGTAAGGCCTGAAAATTTTTAGTCCAATTTGACCCAAGTAGTCCATTTAAATGAAACAGTGAGCCTGTTTTACAATCAGGGTTGGGACTGCTACACACATACACGCATGCACGCACGCACACACACACACACACACACACACAAACTTTTGGTCTCAAAAGTTTAGACTATTTCTTTGTGCTCTAGTTATTTTGTGAACCATGCCCCAGGGACTGCAAATTCATTTTTCAGTGTTTCTTTACTTCCTGGATGAAATCAGTGTTGTCTGGGTTGATTTATATTTTAAAAAGAGGTCATTGTTTTCCATTTCAGCCCCTGCGCTGGACGTAGACTGGCAGACCAACAATAGCTTTGCCTCCTGTTCAACAGACCAGTGTATTCATGTGTGTAAACTAGGGGTAGACAAGCCAATTAAAACATTCCAAGGCCACACAGTAAGTAGGCGAAATAATGATAATAATAAATGAATAAATCTCATAAAATAGATCATTGGAATGTAAATGAAAAGTTCGTGTTACAACTATAAAAATGATAAATAAATTCTTCACTGGAATGTTAGTATTATGCCAGAACTTCCTGTTAGAAGTTCATTTGTGGCTGATGTCATATGGAGTTTTAAATACAGCACATAAAATTCAAAATTTTAATCTTAAATGTGAAAATGAAGACTATTTTTTTTATGAAAGTTGCATTGCAGTAACTAACATATATTTTAATGTTTATTTCTATTTTTGTATTATTGTTATGTGTGTTAACAAATACTAAATTCCAAAAGCATCACCAGAGCAGTTAAACTTTCATGAACATGGCTAAAATATGGTGTTTTCCCCCTTTCCAGAATGAAGTGAATGCCATCAAATGGGATCCACAGGGCAACTACCTGGCCTCCTGCTCTGATGATATGACCTTGAAAGTAAGTAGGGTATTGGGGTTATCTTGGTGTATGGTGACATCTATGGGTGTGATTGACAGTGTTGACATCTGGCAAAAAATAACTTTTTATTTATATTTAATGACAGCTGTAGAATACTCAAAATCAGGTTTTATTGGAGCACCTGTTGAGTGAAATAGTTTGGGCAGTTTTGGCACTTTTTGTGCCTTCACTATCCAAACTGCTCTTGATAAAAGGAACAACAAAAAATGAAAAAATTAATGAAATATTACTCTCAAAAGGCCCTATTGGAAATTGCAGAAAATCATGATGTTGATGAAAAAATGAACAAATCTGTTCTAACATAATTTGTTAAGTAGGACCAGGAGTGAAAATGGAGGATGGTTCATTTTGCACAATTTAAAAAAAAACTGATTAGAATGTTTGTATTGTTTCTTTCTCAGATCTGGAATATGAAGCAGGATTCATGTGTTCATGATCTACAAGCACACAACAAAGAGATCTACACTATAAAATGGAGCCCCACAGGGCCAGGAACAAATAATCCGAATGCACAGTTAATATTAGCCAGGTGAGAGGTGTGACAATGTTTGTGGAAAAAGGAGAGAGAGAGAGAGATGGAGAGAGACAAAATAGAGAGAGAAAGTGCGATAGAGAGAGAGAGAGAGAGAGAGAGAGAGAGATGAGGAAGATATGGGATAGATGGAGAGAAATGGAAATATATATATATATAGAGAGAGAGAGAGAGAGAAGGGGAGTTGTGGATTGATCACATGCCTCACATGGTATGAACAAGTTTGATTTCTTCAAAAACAATTCACTTTTTTCACCTTCTTTACCTTAAAGACAATGAATTTCTGTTATTTCAGTGCATCATTTGATTCCACAGTGCGGTTATGGGATGTAGACCGAGGAATTTGTATACACACCCTGACGAAGCATCAAGAGCCAGTGTACAGCGTGGCTTTTAGTCCAGACGGGAAGTTTTTAGCGAGTGGGTCCTTTGATAAATGTGTCCATATATGGAATGTGCAGGTAAGGGGGGATTTTGAAACGGTTAATTCATAAATTTGAGCAGAAGTGGTGTAGTATGTCAATCATATATGAATCATTTAAAATCAACTTTTATTGTACCACCAGCGTAGGCGCTGGCGGTACTCATGGTTTTAGTCCCGACCCGTATGTTCCGCCGGCTCCGCCGGCTCCTGCGGCTCCGCCGGCTCCTGCANGATCCTCTAGTTTCTCATTATATTAGAGTAAACATTTGTAGGAGTTGTGTGGATTTAAATACCATAAATACTCTATTACTTCAAACAGCTATGATAGATTGTATTTTTCTCAATTGTAAACCTTGAAAACTGTGCATGGGCTGCAATTTGTGTTCCACTTCAACAAAGATAGTGATAAACCATACGGACTACACCTGTATTAGAAATCCTTAGGTCTTGTATTTAAATTGTAATGCAGTTTGAAGTTTTTACTGCCCAGTTTGTAGAAAAAAGCTGCAGTGCCGACATATTTGAAGATAACAATACAAAAAGGATGTTTTATCAGTTTTTTAATAGCTATAAAGATAAAGGGACTTTGTATTAATTTTCTTCCAGTCTGGAGCACTAATCAATAGTTACAGAGGCAGCGGAGGGATATTTGAAGTTTGTTGGAATCACAGAGGGGATAAAGTTGGTGCCAGCGCCTCAGATGGAACGGTATGTAGACGCTAGTTAGATTTTATATCTAGTGGTTTTCACAGATTTCGGCATTTTAATGGAAGTGAAGCATATCTCATTAAGCAGCTTCAGATTAAGAAGAAATGGCGTCTATAAAATGGCACTGTTTAGTTTAAACAGTTATGTTTAAAGAAATAGTAAATCAGAGCAAAGGTGTAACTGCAGAGCACAGGGTTTTTGTTGCAAAATACTGATTGATTCTATTCTATTGCAGGTTGTAGTTTTAGATCTTCGGAAGTAGAGTGGCTGTTGGAGCAGCGTTGGCGTTGTTTTAGGGCGACTACCTCAGTTCTCGTGCCAGCAACTATCTCAGGGCACATCTCCATGTAGGCAGACAGGAATTTGAGGCACATCTCCATGTTAGCAGACGGGACACATCTCCCAAGACAAACTGTTTGCAGGGGGGGGGGAGAAAAAAGCTAAGGGATTCCTTTGCTTTGTTTTTCATGTATTAAACATGGAAACTTGCCTTCTGGTGACAAGTTAAATCAGTTCGTCCAAACCAGATGGAAATCTCGCCTGCAGAGTGGTATCATCTTGGCTACTGCACTGCCATCTACTGGTGCCTCAGAGAGTGTGGATGCATGGTGTAAAGTGCTGCATGGTAATGTTATTGAAGGCATCGAGAAGTTGTTTGCCAATAAAAGTATACATTTATTCCTCCTGCCCTGGGAGGGAGGGACATGTATAGAAAGGACGGAAGGTTAGAAGGAACTATTCCTCAGACAGGCAAGCCTCGTGTGGAAAAGAAATACATGGTTAGGGCCCCTTTGTGGAGGACTGCAGGTAGAATCAGGGATTTTTATAACAAACAAAGGATTCATACTTCGCAATAAGCACTACTGACTGCCTACACCGAAAGGAACACATAAACACTACTTCAGTTCGAATCGGGCGGTAACGTAGGGAATTTAGAAAAAAAAGAGAGAATGGACTGCCAACGGCAAAGGGTTGAAGTTCCTGTGTGTAAGGCAACTTGAGTTGCTGCATATGGGTTGACTTTATAATCAGTTGATTTTGTCCATGTAAATTCACAATCTGGTAGGTCACTTAGGGGAAAAAATCCAGCTGTGTGTTTTATGCTAATGGCCAGAGCTTCACTTTCTAAAAATAAAGAAAAAGGTGAGAAAAGCCACGGGTCGTTAGAACCAGACACCTTGGACATTGATCTCAGCTTAAAGTGACCACGGGTCAATAAAAAATGGCCGACTACTGTTCTGACCACGTAGGGTCGTTTAGAAATTATATATAATGAAATAAAAAAGTGTGTTTATAATGTAGAGGCATAGAGAAGGCATGGAACCTGATAGCAGGCACACATGCCAAGCTAAGTTGATGTGTACAACGTTATTTTAAATGCTAGAAAACCACTTCCAAGGAAAGTGTGTATGGTTGATCTGCTCTTTTTTATATTGAATCATGAGTATTGAATTTATTCTGTGGGTCTGAAGGGTGACCCAGATGAAGGGGGAGGGGGCGGGGGATATTTGTTGGTTACAGGGTGGGTACAAAGTTTGTGCTCATTCAGTGGTGTGAATTTTTTAATTCTTTAAATCTGAGATGGCTAAAATGGCATTTTCATGTATGGGAGAGAGTTCTTGGTGACAGCAGGGCTGTGCTATAGGTTAGATTTTTAATTTTTTGGCAGTTAAAAATGTTTTGAATTCACTTTAAAAGGAGAACAAGGTGAAGGTGAAAAAAAAGAGGATGAACATTTCGCTTGATTTTTGCCTGCACCACTGATTGGCATGCCCTTTGTGTTCACCCTGTATTTGGTTTGTGTTGAGATTGAAGTTTGCTTGTAAAATGTTAAAGTGTTACATATTATTGATATTTTTTGTACAGTTTCGTGTACATAGTGAAACCTTGTGTAGTAGCACAGTGCAAAATGCCGAGTCATGCCCTATGCCGCCGCCATAGTGTGTGGCACGGTGCTGACATCTGGTGGTTTTGGCACTGGTCAAGTTCCCCTCCATCATTTTGTGTTGTATATAGATTATTACTCTCTGTCAAACTCCGTTTGTCAAAGTAGTGAGCTGTTTATATCAGTTAAAATGTGTCCACCTCCGTTGTTCGCCTATCACTCCCTCCAAGTTCACATGATTTGTAAGTGTAATACGTTTTATCATTGGACACTTAATAATTTGACTCTAGGTTGCAGTTAGGATTAATATGTATCAGCACGGTCGACCTTCACCTTGCAACAGGTGACCTTGGCACTTTTGACCTTGACCTTCATTCGGAAAAGATGTCGTTATAAGAAAGTGATTGGGATCCCGCCCCATAGATGTTTTGAATTTATGTTAGTTACGAAGTTAAGGTTTGATTCTGGATTTTAGAATGTAACCAAAAGTTTCAGCATTTTCCTTACCTTTTGATAGGCAAGTGTACACATTGAAATGTTTTTCTTGGATATTTGATGGTGTCAAAAAGATAATAGTAAACCAAAGATAATCTTCACACACTGTTGTTGCACATGCCTCCGTTGACTAACAAACACCGGTGTAGATGGCGCTAGTCATCAATATAACCTTTTTTTTTCATTTTTATTATTTATATATAATTAATTTCTTTGCACAGTCTTTTGGAAATGTTAAAAAGGATAACAACCCATCCAACTTTTGTCATAATGACACCGTTATTTTTTTTTCTCTCTTTCACAAAATGTGTCTGGTGGTAAATTTTGCTCCTTAACCAGTTGTGTTGGCCGCACCTCCCCCCGTAGTGTCCGTGTACTATAGCCACACATATTAACGATGAATCAGTTATATTTGACATACTGGAAATAAATTGCTATATTTTGATATGACCTTAAGACGGCTTGATGTGTTGTTCTTTGCTCTTCTGGGAATGTTTAAACATGCAACCACTGGCAACGCGCGATTGAACTTCAAAGTGAAAAAAAAAATAATACATGTAAAAAGTACATATAGCAAAAAGTAAAAATAGATTAAACGTAGTAATTAAGAAATATCCTGCAAATTGAAAAAAATATGTTCTTTCCCCTGAAATACATAAAATCACAATCTGAAAACTCCTCAGAGGGCGCATTCAGAACACGTTGGTTTGCGGACTAACAGGTCCGCGGATCAAATATGGCGCCACCCGCGATTTAATTGCCTGCCCCCGCTGGGACGGCGCACGTGGGAGGCAGGAATCCATCGTCAAATTTGACATTTGGTCCGCGGACTAGTTACTCCGCGAATCAAATTTGTTGTGAATGCTCTCTATTAAAATCTACGTAACCCCTAAAAAAGAAAGAAACATGTTCAGACTGGCCAGAAATGAATAACAAAATTAAAAAAAAAAAAAAAAAAAAAAAAAAAAAAAAAAAAAAAAAAAAAACAGAATCTAAGTGCAGGGGTTGATCAAGTAATGATGCGTGAATAGGAGAACAACTGCTTTTTTGCCAAAGATAAATCCATTTTAGCGGGTAAATGCCGTATAGGGTGCCTTTCCATTTTGAGAATGTGTACGTTATTTTCTACATCATTCACAGCACTCGAATACAAGGCCCACCTGAGTGCGTGAACTTCTTCCACCATAAACACGACAAGTTTGTCATTAAATCTTTAATTATATAAACTTAGCCCTTTTACGAAATTAGCAGTTTTTAAATACGACCCAAGTCGTAGTTGGCTGCGGTTAAATCATGCTTTTTTTTTTGCAACTTTTGAATTTAATTATAAAGGCATCTGTTGCCGCAAACAGCCTGTGTACTGACGTAACGAGACAGAGGCGTCCACATCAGTTTGACTTGTTAAACATGGATGTATGAAGACAAACTGACCACAGACTTGATGTAAACCTGCGCTGGCCACTTTTATCGATATCTTGTATCGGTATAACTGTATTTATGTTTAAAATTTAAAATATATACACAAAGTGAGGTTCCTAACTCCCCCCACCCCACCCCCACCTTAAAAATCAACATAAATACACAAGTGCAGGATTTCTTACAAAATTAAATCGTTTGAATCATCGAGGAGCTGATAATGAGCAAACTATTTCAAGCATGATTCTGACAATTGGTCAGCGCTTCTGTCTATTTTGAATGACATCCCCCCTCCCTTTTCTTTGAAACATTCATAAAAAAATCATTGGTGTGGCGCTCCGTTCCACAATTGCACCTGAAAAACTCTTAAACCATAATAGTGGCAATCAAATGATATTAAAAAAACTTCTTACGAGACGTCAGGTGAACTGGCCATTTTACTTCACAATTAATGCAAATTTCTAAAAAAAATTATCTTAAACGCATATGCCGCAGACTGCAGGCTGCTAACGGCTGTCAACTGTGGCGAAGAATCACCTTTATCACCCTGTGGATCGGCGTTCCAACAGATTTATACCTGCGTAAAACCAATGTATCATTTATAGATAAAAGTCCCTGCTGAAATTCGCAAGTGCGGGCAAGTGCGCATGCAGATGTAGGAGGAATAAAAAAACTACCAGGCACAACTGTTGTTCGATTATAACGTCACCGCCATCTGTGACCAATGTCACACGCATATGGCAACTCCCTGAGAAAGACGCCATATAAACGGCGCGTATTTTCTCAGTCACTTCTCAGCGACAAACACACGGGTAAGGAACATCTCTGTCTCTACTACTACTGTCTCTACTACTTCAGAATGGTTTTCTCTACAGACTATATACCACTGCGTTGTAGGGTAATTGTAATACTGCTGCTAGCCCTTGTGTCACAGACCTTGTCACAGTATAGTTCGGGATACCAAGTCCAGACTGTTTCAGCTGGCCGAGATAACGGTTACAACCACAACCGCGGATATCCCGATCCGCAATATTTCGGGCCACACGAGGAAAGAGGGAGTTACGGCGGCGGCAGAAGTCAGTATATACCGTACGAGAGCTACAGCGCGCCAACCCAACGTTATGGAAGCCGCTACGAATACCAATCACCATATTCCAGTCTGTATCACAAACTGTTCCAAGACTACGCCCACGTCAAGGTACCCACAGTGGATCCACATAGCGGAGAGCACGCACAAGACGGTGCCCACGATCGCGCTGGGCAATCGCAGTATAGTGGTGGCAGCGGTGGGGTAGGGCAGTATCACGAGGTCGCCTATGGTAGTAGCTATGGTGACAATAGTGGTAGCTATGGTGATACCAGTAGTAGCTATGGTGATACCAGTGGTAGCTATGGTGATACCAGTGGTAGCTATGGTGACACCAGTGGTAGCTATGGTGACAAAGGAAGATATCACGCCGACCAACACAGAGGAGAGAGACCCACCACTCACTGTCATCTGTACAGAGATGACAAGGAGCAATATGAGAAATGCCTGGGATGTACTGGTTCCGACAGGTTCTGTAAGTAAAGAATCATTCATTCTTCGACATCATCATTATCTTCAGAATGTTTTCTGCTCTACAGAAGAAAACTTTCATGTGATGAATATTCCGCTTTCTACATTCTTAGGGTATGTAAAAAACAAAACAGGCAGCACCATGTCAATGTTTACCTTTAGTTTTGTTTCATGTTGTAATAAAATCAAAATCATACAATGAAAAAAACAGATAAATAAAAAGTGTGATACACGATTAACTACTAAGTGCGCACACACATATGAACACACAATGCACGCTTAACTTTTACCAAAGAAAGAACTAATATTTTATATGTGTTCAACTTTAGTTTGGATTTCATATATAGTATTTACCCAAAATTGACAACCAATCGACATAAAGAACACATTTTTGGGCACATTTCACTTGGTCGAGGCTCTTTGACGAAGATCAGAAGCGTCTTGCTTCGACTCTTCATCAAAATCCATTGGTAAAAACACGTTTAATCTCTTAAGAAACTATATACATTTTTTATCATCATTACACAATAGGTAATGAAAAACTTATTTCAACTAAACCTGACCATGTTAATGTCATCTTCTTTACAGTCGTATGCCCCGTAGCGGGAGTCTACAAGCCGGAGAGGGCATATGGCCCGAAAGAAGAAGTACACGAAGCCCCACGCCGCCATTTTGCCCATACAGACCCTCAGTGTTACTGGCAGTGTGACGAGTTCGGGCGCGCGTTTGGTCAGCCTTGCCCAAAAGGACTAACATTCAACACACATGCGCAAGTCTGCATCCGGCTTTAAACTGAGTTTGAACTACACGTGCACGGATTTCCAGTTGGCACCCAGAAGCCTCAAAGACTGGCGTTGTTTAAGACTGATGAATGTTTTATATGGAATGTGTTACTCTTGTGTTTTGGATCTAATGTGAAATCAAAGACATTACGTTATTGTAATTAGGTTATTAACAAACAAATACGAGTTTTACATGGTAGGCCCAGGAGCCTTTAGAAACGTATAAAAGAAAAAAAAAAAGGAGTAAAAGGTTGTCACTTAGAACATTAAACTGACCACGACAACACCTTAATATATCTGTATATTTCCCTTTCATTTTAATTCAGATTATGGTGTAGATAATTAGTGATTTTGGTTGGCTTTGTAAAGCTGTAGAGTAATAAATAATCCTGACCAGAATCTCTCTCGTTCGCTTCTAATTAGTTAATTAATCACTACAAATGTGCAGGAATGTTCTGAGTTATTATGAGGCCTTCAAGGCACGACTAGGCCGTTGTAGAAAGTGTTTTGACACACGGAACTGTCTATTCCTATTCATGAATATCAATTTAGCAAACAGAACTCACTGCAGCTAAGAAAACATTTTGAATATCTAGATACGCAAAACGTGTGGGGGGGGAGAGGGGGGTTAAAACATTTTGGCCTTACATCGATCGCTGGGCAAAAACAAACAAACAAACAAAGGACGAGAACCATATTAATTGGGTATATAGTGCACAAGAATGAGCTTTTGCTTTTGTCTAATTTTGCTTGTGCGAGCGCACGTGTGTGTTTCGTTTTCCGAATAACCATATGACTTATTTTTATATGATACCATTGCACATTAAGACACAAATCAGTGTACTATCATGACAAACCCTCTCGTTTTTGTACGGTTTCATAGGACTATTTCTTTTAAAAAATTCCCTAGGTTAAAAGTGCTCTAGCTTTGGTTTCGAGGGAAAGAACGACTTACAGGTACACGTAGGCCTAATTACAGGAAATCTATGTACAACACTACTGCAGCAGATCAGTCTAAATTAATGGCTAATTAATCACCAATCTTAAACGCCCTCATTAATTTCTCCTTGCCACTCTCGCCCCCGCCGGTTCTACCCCCGTGTACCTGAGCGGGTTTGTTTTTGGCACGCGACTGTTGTATAGACCTTGTTGTTGGCCGTAACGGGTTACCCCATTGAACAGAGTAGGCAGAATGTGCGTATTCTTTATACGCAGTGAAACTATAGTGTTCAGGCCCGTAGCCAGCAATTTCCTAAGGAGGATTCTTTTTCTGAAAAAAAAAAGGACCTTTTACGACAAAACCTTGAGGATTCAGATTATTTTTCTCAGAGGGGACCTTTTCTGGAAAAAAGGGGGGGGGGATCTTTCGAACCCCCCTGGCTACGGGACTGGGGTTAATGTTACACAGAAAAGACAGTAAAGATACAGGTAGGAAGTCAATAGATCTGGCACTGAGAGACTCCTCAAAACAAGTTCTCTATAACATTAACAATATAATTTATGTTTAAGACCCCATTCCCAGAGATAAGATCGATCCAAACTAGATCGATCTAACTCCCTGGGGGTTCACGCTAAATAGCTGTCAGCCGAGCGGGCACGAAAGTTAATTACTCCCTTACAGCTTGTAGTAGGCGGGATGGACATTAAGCCGGATTATCTGACAGTAATCTAGTGAGACCCCCCACGGGGATAGATCGATCTAAATGTCTGGGAATACGCCCTAAGACAAGTGGCGTAGAAAATTGGTCAGATTTGGCAATGGAAATCTCTTAAATTAATTTCTTATGAAATATGAAAATAACTATTTTACACGTATCAATATAGAACTTTACCTTTTCTGATCTTTTTGATGGCTAATTGTTAGAGTGACTGGAAAACTGCTTCACTATAAATGACCAATTCAACTATTTACCTAAAATCTAAATTAATAAATATCTGACGAAATAAATGAATTAACAGATAAATATGAATATACATAACAATAAAAAATAATGCTGGACAGAAACACTTAAATCCGAAACAGAAATCAATAAAAAATATCAATCTTGTACTTCGATTGTATAGCGCATTATCCACATCAAAGATTGCACGTTTGTGTAAGACAGTACCCATCCGAAGCAGAGGGCTCTTCCACAACATCTCAGAGCGCGCGATATCCACGGAACCAACAGGTGAACGTTGGCCGGTCGATCAAACTACTCCTGGTTGTATAAACTTATCTGTCACCACAAGGTAAGTTCCAGTTGTTGTTGTAATTTACATTTACGTTTGATTGGTGTAACACAATTAATGTTATACGTTTATTCAAAGGAGAAAAAAAACCTTCATCAATGAATCTGCTGTTCGAGAGTTTTACGTTACCTAAAACGGTAGTCTTTCTTTTTTTTCGGGGAGCAACGGCGTATAACGTACGGTTTATATTAGTAACTTGTTGGTTTTGTATTGAATATTAATTTTATTTAGGGATTTTGTTGGTAACTAATTTGTTATATACATTAGTAACTAGTTAGTTTGCAATATGTTTAAAATATGCAGTTGGGTTGAAGTAGGTAAGAAGAGTTGTTGGGTAAATGTTGTTATATTGCTGGTGCGTTGATATCGTGTTTCTTATGTGTTGATGGCTTGTTGGAAAATCCCCTCAAAGGAATCTAAGAAGAAAGATACAACAGTTAGTGCTACATGTGCGTGTGCAAGCAGCACGAAATAGAGGGGTAATAATTGCCGCATCGCGCATGATGAGTAATGCATTGGCTTACAGGCATCGTGCATAGTTTTACAGATGCTAACCACAGTAGACTAGTGAATACTATAAAGGAATCTACACAGTCTCTTATTTGTGACCTCTGTTGTAATCATATTCTTTTCTGTTCTTGGTTTATTTTTATCTATATCTTGTGACTTTAAAAAGATGTTCAAAGTCAGAAGGCTGGGGACTTGTTTTTATATACGGACTTCTGCAATCCAAGTCAGAAAGCGGATAATTTGATTTTACGTGCAGACATCCATAATCATTACTTCAATTTTCATGAGACCTGTTTCTGCCACCGATTTTTCGACCGACTTTGAATAGATTTACAAGTACACATATTTCGATGTACAGGGGATTTGCTGGACAAAATATTTCATATACTTCTGAGATAAGATATACTAAACCTACGAGTCATACAGGTGCAAAACCCTTATTTCACACCTGTCCTGAATCTGAGCTCGGCGAAACCTTCTACTGTTTTCTTTGCTGAGATAATGGCGCTGGCTTAATGAAAATGGACGCGTAAAGCAGGTGCCAGCGCCGCGAAAAAAACTATTTTGGTTCATTAGATTATTTGTTTCACGCATCGTCCTGTTATTGTACTTCAAGTGTTGAAGATGTATGGCGCTGAGTTCTTAAGGTGATTGTTTCACATTCACATGTTTGTTTACACAGCTTGGGTCGTTTTTTAGTGACTATTCTTGTTTTGCAGGCCTTTTTTTTCGTAGGTGCTTCGTCAGTTATGATTTGGTTAATTCGCCTATCTCTCCTTTTCTCCGAAGGCTTTCCAAGTCACAAAAGAGATTAAACACCGCACTTGCCAGAACTTACCTTTCTGTTACATCAGACAGCCGGATAGAACGTCTCTCCTTTGCGTAATATGATTACGTTTCTAGCAAAACACGTTAATTCGGGGCAGAAATTGCAGATTTATCCGTGGGCGTGACGCCGATGGTTTTTCCTTCCCCGTTGCCAAAACGCTCTCTTTTAAAGTAATGCTGACTTCTGTTTGCTATGAATGCTTTTGATTCTTCCACCTTTTTTGATTTTTTTTAAATCCACAGTGCGATATTTTTTAAATAAAGGGAGCACAGACTTACTAACACCAACTTGATGTGCACGTCACTAGTTCATTTGTTGAACGCATAAGGCCAATCTATACCCAAACGTGTAGGGGAAAGATTTTTTTAATACATTGAACCTTAATATCCCCTTATTCATCTTTTTTTTAATAGTGTAAAGTACTTGAAAAATGTATTATTCAATTTTAGTCACTAATTTTCCATCACCGTTTTTCACATTTTTCGCTTTGTATTTCGTTTGGTCATGTCATGAAGAAGATGATGATACAGACAAAACGGTGGCATTCTTGTGCCACTCTGCGTTATTGAAAGAAGCTGCAATATCGTGCAATCCATTAACGGTTATTTCTTTAAGCGCAACTCTTTAACGGAATGCACTTGATTCTGATTAGGCTCGACTTAACCTGGGAGCGTATTCTACGGAGAACACCTTGTTTTGGGGATGCATTCCTTCAACCAATAATTCCAGAAGCGAACAAGTGTGATTTTTTTCGTGATTTACCAAAAATCGTATCTTGATCGTGAGATGCAAGTGATGTCCATTACCATACGTTATGATTGATACGCGTGTCATATTGTCACCAACTGAACATTTAATAGAGAGAGAAGTGTTCAACTCAGCAGTGCCTCTTCACCCCCGCCCAATACCAGCACCCTCTCCCAAACTTTCGAACAACTGCTCTATCAATAATCAGGTATCTGTTAATCTGTGCTTATAAATGGTTACAAATAAGCAAAAACGGTCGTCTGATGATGTGTTTAAGATCGGAACCGGTTTAGGTGTATGTATGCACATTACATATATGCGCCCGAGAGAGAGAGAGAGAGAGAGAGAGAGAGATGAGCGAACACCGTTGTGTACCCTTATGCACTCAATCTCAGCTGAGTCTAATTTGGCGATATTTTCCCGAGGCATATTTTTCCACCTGCCGCCAAGAACAACTTGTGCTGCAACTGGCAATAGGAAGGTATTTAACGCTTTTGGTAGGAGTCTAGGAAGGTAGAAGCTGAACGACGCGCCCTCTCATGGTAAACTATGTATAGCCCTTTTGTAGGGGCCCTTTAGTCGCGTCCTTTCCCTCTCCCTTTGTCAATCTCTCTCTCTCTCTTCTGAATACCGTAGCCAAAATAAAGTTTTCACAATGGTTAGAACAAAGTTCATTTGAGATGAAGTAAACATAACTAATGTTTTACATATTGAAAAAGAAAACTTAAGCTGTTGACGGTTTAATCTTTTCCCTGCTCTCCTACTTGTATGAGGACAACAGTTAAAGGAACTAGTGAAATTAGAGAACAAATTGAAAAGAAAATAATTCTCGCGAGCCGGATTTGAACCAGCGACCTAAGGATGTCTTTTATCGTCCACTACAGTCCTCCGCTCTACCAACTGAGCTATCGCGAGCTACGATTATCTCACCTGTCTGCACAGGTACGCTTTCTGAAGACCGTCTACAATTTATTCCATATTCATGAAGTGTTATTGCGGTCTTGCATGCACTGTTATCATTGATTGTTGTCACTCTAGTTGTCGCTGTTAA